GATCTGGGGGGCTCATTTGGGTCTGGGGGTGACCCCATTTCTCTCTCCCCCCCCCAAAGGTCTCCTGCCCCACTCCCCCTCCCTCCCCCACGGCGACGCCTTCGGGAAGGGCTGGAGCAAGAGACCCCTCAGGTGAGGGGGTCCGGGGGGGATTTTGGGGGGTCCTGGGGGGATTTGGGGTGACGAGTCAGTTTTGAGGTGATTTGGTTCAGATTTGGGGCAATTTGGATCAAATTTGGGGTGATTTGGATCAGATTTGAAGTGATTCAGGTCAAATTTGGGTCCAATTTTGGGCGATCCGAGTCCGATTTAGCTCAGATTTGGGTCAAATTTGGGCCGATTTACCTCAAATTTGAGGCGATTTTTCTCCAATTTGGGTTCAGATTTGAACTCGGCCACTTTGGGGCCACCTCGGTGACACTTTTGGGGTGTCCCCCCCCCCATTATTTTTGTCCCCTGCAGCCACCCCCTGTCCCAAGCCGTGTCCTTCAGCATCCCCTTCGGCCTGGACAGCGACGTCGACAGGGGGTCCTGAGGGGTTTAGGGGGTCCTAAGAGGGTTTTGGGGGGTTCCAGGTGGGTTTGGGGTGGATTTGGGGGGTCCTGAGGGATTTGGGGTTGTCCTAGGAGTGTTTTGGGCTGATTTGAGTCAGATTTGGGGTGACTTGGGTCACTTTTGGGTGGGATTTGAGGCAATTTGGGTCAAATTTCAGTCAGATTTGGGGTGACTGGAATCAGTTTTGGGGTGATTTGAGGTGATTTAGGTCAAATTTGGGGTGACTTTGGTCAGTTTTGGGTGGGATTTGGGGCGATTTGAGGTGATTTGGATCAGATTTGGGGTGATTTGGGATTATTTGCATCAGTTTTGGGGTGATTTGAGGTGATTTGAGGTGATTTGGGTCAGTTTTGAGAGGATTTGGGTCAGTTTTGGGTGGGATTTGGGGCGATTTGAGGTGATTTGGATCAAATTTGGGATGACTGGGGTCAAATTTGGGGTGATTTGGATCAGGTTTGGGGTGATTTGGGATTATTTGGGTCAGTTTCAGGTGGGATTTGGGTCAGTTTTGGGGTGATTTGGCTCAAATTTGGGGTGATTTGTGGTGACTCGAGTCAGTTTTTGGTCAAATTTGAGGTGATTTGGGATTTTTTGGGTCAGTTTTGGGGTGATTTGAGGTGATTTAGGTCACATTTGTGGTGACTTGGGTCAGTTTTAGGTCAAATTTGGTGCGATTTGAGTCCAATTTAGGCCAATTTACCTCAAATTTGAGGCGATTTCGCTCCAATTCTTGAGGATTTGGGGAGATTTGGGGGAAATTCGGGTCAGATTCAGACCCGCAGCTTGCTGCGCTTCACCGACGGCCAGGAGGACGAGCAGGACGAGCAGGAGGTGAGATTGGGAAAATTCGGGGAGATTTGGGAACATTCCGGACAGATTTGGGGGAATTCAAGTTGGATTTGGTGGAATTCGGGTCAGATTTGGGGAAATTCGGGTCAGATTCAGACCCGCAGCTCGCTGCGCTTCGCCGACGGCCAGGAGGACGAGCAGGACGAGCAGGAGGTGAGATTGGGGAAATTCGGGGAGATTTGGGGTGATTTGGGTCAAATTTGAGGAAATTCAGGTCAGATTTGCGGGGGGGTTTCTGTAGGATTTGGGTCGGATTTGGGGGAATTCAAGTTGGATTTGGGGGAATTCGGGTCAGATTTGGGGGAATTCGGGTCAGATTCAGACCCGCAGCTCGCTTCGCTTTGCTGCCACTTTAGTGCCACTTTGCTGCCACTTTGGTGCCACTTTAGTGACAGTTTAGTGCCACTTTGCTGCCACTTTAGTGCCAATTTGCTGCCACTTTGGAGCCACTTTAGTGACAGTTTAGTGCCACTTTGCTGCCACTTTAGTGCCAATTTGCTGCCACTTTGGAGCCACTTTACCAGTCAGATTTGGGGGAATTCAAGTTGGATTTGGGGAAATTCGGGTCAGATTTGGGTCAGATTTGGGGAAATTCGGGTCAGATTCAGACCCGCAGCTCGCTGCGCTTCGCCGACGGCCAGGAGGACGAGCAGGACGAGGAGGAGGTGAGATTGGGGGGAATTCGGGGAGATTTGGGGAAATTCGGGTCAGATTTGGGATGATTCCAGTCGGATTTGGGGAAATTCAGGTCAGATTTGGCTGTTTTCACTCAAATTCACCTCAACTTCCCCCATTTTAACTCAAGTCCCAGCTGATTTCTCCCCAATCCCCGCTCACGTTTTCCTTGAGGTGACATTTTAGTGACATTTTAGTGACACTTTACTGCCACTCTGGTGCCACTTTGGTTACATTTTATTGACACTTTGCTGCCACTCTGGTGCCCCTTTGGCCCCACTCTGCTGCCACTTTAGTGACAGTTTAGTGCCACTCTGCTGCCACTCTGCTGCCACTCTGGTGCCACTTTGGTGCCACTTTGCTGCCACTCTGCTGCCACTTTGCTGCCACTTTGGTGCCACTTTGGTGCAACTCTGCTGCCACTTTGGTCCCCCTTTGCTGCCACTTTAGTGCCACTTTCATGCCACTTTCGTGCCACTTTTATGCCACTTTGGTGTCACTTTGCTGCCACTTTGGCCCTACTTTAGTGTCACTTTAGTGACACTTTAGTGCCACTTTGCTGCCACTCTGGTGCCACTTTAGTGACAGTTTAGTGCCACTTTCATGCCACTTTGGTGACAGTTTAGTGCCACTCTGCTGCCACTTTGGTGACAGTTTAATGCCACTTTGCTGCCACTTTGGCCCCACTCTGGTGCCACTTCAGTGACAGTTTAGTGCCACTCTGCTGCCACTTTGGCCCCACTCTGGTGCCACTTCAGTGACACTTTAGTGCCACTCTGCTGCCACTTTGCTGCCACTCTGGTGCCACTTTAGTGACAGTTTAGTGCCACTCTGGTGCCACTTTGGTGACAGTTTAGTGCCACCCCGGTGCCA